CCCTAAACCCCAACCCCTGAACCCCAAACCCTAAACCGTCTTCAGTCTGCGCTGATTCTCAGGAAACATCCTGATAGTGCCAAGTGGGTGCCAGAAAGATGGAGGGTGAATTCGGATCAGCAGTTCCAGCCCTCTTCATGCTTGCGCCTAGTCCAGGCTCCAAGGTTATCGCTATATGATACTACTTCATGACCTGAAAAAAATAACAAGATTGGAAATGCAAGAAAGTGTAGTATATACAATATACGTAATATATTAGTAAGGACGAACCCCGAGACCCAACTGTCCCTCTCCGGATCTCATGGGTGCGATGTTAAATTCAGCTTTCCCTGAACGAAGCTACTGCTGAACAAAAGACGTGTACTAGATCTTACCCTGCACTAAGCCCTACACCCTAAAGTAAGCTTAAACCCTGATATACACTTACTATCATCATCTTGGGAGTTGAAGCTTGAAGCCAATCAAAAAGTAATCCAACTCGAGGTCTTTTCTGTGATAGTTCTGTTCGCAAACTGACGTTCATGCTGAACGTGTAGCCTCAAGGCCATACCATACAGAATTATGAGATAAAGTATAACTAGACCAGGTTTCAGGGAGATTGGAAGACCCCTCCCATAAAGGAGCCATGACCACAGCACTGGTTGCACGCGAGCAGCTTCACACTGCCGATCGAGAGGTTCATCTGTCGCTCATTCCTTAAGAAGGGCTCGGGATGCCAAAGAAGCACCACTACGTGAACTTGCGGAAGGTCATGCCCCTGGAGGCGGGTAGGTTAAACTAGTCTATGCCTATTCATGTTTGTGTGGATTTTGGTGTACACTGGACGAAGTCTGAAAACTCATGGACACTCGACCCCAAGACCAACAGGACACCCAAGGAAGAGCTTGTATCCTCCAGAGGGACATGTGCAAGAAACACCTCACAGTCCTTCTCCCAGAAGCCGAGCACAAACGCTGATTCAGGCCCCGACCCCAAAGGTCTCTGACAAACCGGGCGTAGAAAGAATTTTCAGGACAGGGCCGGGTTCAGCCCCAAAGCTCCACGGCAGACACCAAACTTTCGTCCCAAGCATCCATGCATGCTCCACGTACCTTTGGATGCGCACATTGAGATCCGCTTTGACATGCCTGGGCATGGTCAGCAATAGCAATGCACCCGAAAGAAAACGCAACACTTCGAACGACGGAAGGCTTTCGTACCCTATATGTCCGAAATACCACCCAAAGAATGCACTCACCGAAATTCGGAAGAAGTCGGGCTTGTCCTGCTTGCATCTCCATGGTCCCACCATATATCACCCAAAGCTCAGTTTCTACAGTCAATAGCACCCCTAACATACACCCACCGTCTGATGAGGTCAAGGCATTGGAAGATGGCCCCCGGGTCTGTAGACTCGGGCGTAGCCAACGAGGGAAGCGTGTGGAAGACTGTTCCGAAAAGACCAGACCCTGACTTCTTCCAGTATCCTAGCGGACCTAAAGGTTAACCTTTGGGAATGTATGGGGGCCATAATACCCCCGCAAAAAAACATTACCAAGGTTGGAACATCTAGGAGTTCTAGTCCCCCCCTAGAAAAGGTTAAAGGTTAGAGTAGCTCTCTACTACTAAGGACCCGATGAAGAGGATCTCGGCTTGAATCGGAAGATCAAACCTCCTGTTCGCTCCGGGCAGATTTAGGGTTTAGGGTTTAGAGTTTCACTACCGGTCTGGGCACTTCTCCCTTCTATTCAGCAAGGCTTTGGGTATTCCAGGTGGCTTCTGAACTCTGAAGCTGAGCAGTTTCGGTCTCCGGGCTCCGGTGCTGGGGGGTCAAAGGATTGATGAGGCTTCCATTTCAGGGTCGAGGTGTCTAAGCGAGCACGCCGAGGTCAATATGAAGGCCCAAATCTTAAAACTGAGTGGGATCCTGATCGCATAGCTATGCTTGCTCTGGCTTCTCGCCTCCAATGGCTACGAAAGACGGGAGAACCTATTGACGCCTCCATTTGGGTTCCAAACCCGGAGCCCTAGATCCGAAAAGCGAAACCCTACTTTTTTCCTCCTCAGGTTCCGCAACCTTGTGGACTCAAATTTCACAAGATCTAGGCATCAAAAGATATGCCGACACGAAATTTGCCATCTTGAGGAGAAGCAACCCTGCGCCCCACCCGCAACTCCCAGGTGAGGGCGACCGGGATGCTTAAGGCGCATGTAGCGGCGCAGCTTCCAGAGCTCCTGCATCCGGTTCTGGGCGTCCAGGATGCGCCCGTGATGCGCTGGCACCACATTCCCGTAAACCTACATGAAGCTCGAGAAACCCCGACGGAAACCGAAAGCCACCAGGAATCTTCAACCCATGGGCAAACCCTAAAAGCCAACAGCACCTGACGGCCCCGTCGAACCCATAGAAAGACTCGCAATGGTGCATAAAAGGATTACGTCATCCCGAAAAGGCTAAGGTTACCTACGCAGCTGAGCTGGAGATCGATGTCTCGATGGAGTCTACGGGATTCGGCTTTCAGGGCTTTGTCCTGAATCCTAGACATAGGCTCCTGTCGGCCGTCAAGCAACACGAAACATTCCAAAGTCTGAACACTAAGGACCTCAAGCTTGCCATAAACCCTCAATTGGAGAGGCTAGGCAAAATGTAGTATTTCTCGGAGATGACCCTAAAAGAAACCATCGTCCAAAATGTAGTATTTCTCGGAGATGACCTAAAACAAAACAATCGTCCAAAAAAGGAACATACTAACGATGCATGCACCCCAGAGCCCCCCCAATTGTACGTCCAAAACCAAGACCTTACCTAAGCCCAAAAGCTTAAAGACTGGGGCGAAGGCCCGACCACCTGCCTGCAGTGCTCGGAATCTTAGACGGGGTGTCAATTTCGACAGCCCTCAAAACGAGAAACCAAACGAGGGCTCTGTATTCAATGGATTTAGTAACTTGCCAAGTCGACTACTGGTACGGCCCCTCAACACGGAGCCCCTAAAACCCACCCTAAGAGTCCTAGCCGCCCTCAATTGGCTCCTTCGCTTTCTCTTGCGACAGACCACGCAACTGCGTAAGGATACCTCACGCAGCGTGCGGTGTTTGGGTTTTTGGGTTTTGTGTTTTTACATTTCTAGCATTGGGGCCGTGTGTTTTAGAACGCCTTTCTTGATATCGTGGTCGTAGATGGACCCTATTTTTCAGGCTTAAAATGGGTTTGCTAGCCGAGTGTGTTGGAGCATGCTTGGAGAAAGCACCGCTCAAATGAAGTCCGCCAACCCTGATTTTGTCCATGAGGACCACAGCCTAAACCACTTAAGACAGGTTGAACCCTCTTTTATACCAAAACCCGAAGCCCCAAACCCCTAAAACGTACACCACTTATGCCTCTCAGATTACTAGGTTTCTCGAACCTCTGATCCCTAGCGCCCAGCGGGCCTCAATTGCTGGAGTAAGCCTCCCTGTTAGAGTGCTATGAGGCTCTGTGGTACGGCTTTTGGGGAGGAGAATAGATTCAGTTTGAGTAGGGGTTTTGGGGTATACTAAAGTGTGAGTGTTTATGGACTGTTACATGGATTGTTCGTCTACAACCATTTCTCGTAATGAGCCATACTTCGGCCTTATTGAGGATCCTACGTTATGATTTATTCTGGCCCCTCATTTATGAAACTCCAAAAGGCAATCCATTCTACTCGGACATCAGAAGGTCGGGGTGCTGGTGATGCCGCCGACCAGTGAGGAGAAGCCAACCATGGCAAAGATCACCACAGCAATGGAGTACCTGAAATGACAAAGACCCCACAGCCAATGGCGGGCAAGGATATTCAGATCCTTATTCAGCGTTGCTGCTCTCTTTTTAAACCGATGACAGAAAATGATGGTGCTGAGCCTGGTGGTTGGGACCCTACTGGCAGTGACCAATGTTGGTGTTGGTACTGCTGATGACGATGATGGCGAGGACCCTGATGACACGTTGATTCTGCGCGGAAGCACAACATGATATGAATGAAGATGAGGAAGAGGCATGAAATTGATGCACGACGGCGATGATGGCCGGTGTCCACTGGCCCTTTCGTGGCTGTACGATGTGAACCTGTAGGGCCGCCACCACCACCACCACCACCACCACCACCTTCTTTCATCCCCTGCCTTGAAAGTAACACCAAAAGTCACCACCAAGCTGCGAGCGCTCCGGCATGTTGGTTGGGTGAACCTGGCAGACTGCAGACTAAGGCGACAGAGATTGGACAGTTTTATGTCGCGGATAGATGAAGCCGCTGAGGAAGCCCTAGATGCTTGGCCTTCTGCTGTAAACCTTTTGATTGCGAAGCCGCCGACTCTCTGCATTGAGCTTTAGGCGAAGATCAAGCGGAAAATGACCGAATATAGGGGCTGGCATAAATACAAACAGCTACTAACTCGACTGCAGTACTAGCTACTAGTCCTCAGGGTTCCTTTGTGTTATCTATACTACGATTACTACAACAGACTCTACTTATGCAACGCCCCCTTTTCTTGGGCACTCCAGGCTCTGCGTAGCGTAGGCCACCCAAAGAGGCCAATAACCCTTGGCGAAGGAAAACAGCTTAAACCATCATAAGGAGCCCTTCGTCATGCACAAGACTTCTGGGACTCCCTTAAATCAGAATAGCCGGAAGCCCTCAATAACGCAAGGATTCCTTAAACTACACACACAAGAAGCCCGCCCTAAACCCTAAAGGCCGTAAACCCTAAACCCCGGTCCCGGGGAATCGGAGGAGTCTGTGTGTCCATGGGCTTAGGTTCGGGCTTGAGGTCTAATGTAAGGACCTTAATAGGTTTGGGGGCCGATTACACTAGCATTAAAAAAGGAGCCCCCAAAATAGTACAGGTCAGTACATAGGCCCCTATACTTGACTTCGCCCGGCCGTTTCTTTGATTTGGAGTCTGGTGTTGGGGGTTCAAGGTTTTGGGTTGGGGTTTGGGGCTTAGTTGGAGGGAGAGCTCGGGAAGGGCTTGGAGGGAGTTGGGGGGGTTAAACCCTAAGCCCTAAATCATCCTAAATCCTAAACCCCATAAACCCTGAACTTACCCCCTAAATCCTAAACCGATGCTCGGAAGCCAGGCAACTTCCATTGCAGCTGGAGTGAACTGGGTGATCGACCAATGCAAGGCGGTGGCGTAGCGGTAGGACCACCTCGCGGAGCCGTCAAGGATCCCCCCCCGGGTTTCTAAACCCAAAACCCGAAACCCTAAACCCTTTTTCTGGGGTATATGGAGGCATGATGAGGCATACTTATAATCATCTAGGGCGCGCCTTCGGCAAGAGCTTCAAACTTTAAACCTCAAATCGTCGAACGCCTACGCCCCTGCACTAGTAAGCCCTCAAAAGTCTATATGAGGTGAATTAACCCCTTACACAGCCCCGAAACCCTAAAAACGTTGGGCCGTGGAGCTTCTGGTGAATGGTTTTACTTTGAAAAGAAAAGAGTTTAGGGCTTAAGTGTAAAGGCTTATTGGCTTATTGGGCCTCTAGAGTTTAGCCGGCGAGATAAAGCCGAACTTGGCACTTGAAGTTGAGGCCTCAGGGATTCAAGCTTGGGTTGAACCGGGGCTTCGAGGCTAGCCTTGCCTCATGTTGATACTGTTGATGATATAAATCCTTAGGATTACTTTAAGGGCCCCAAACTATGAGAATTATGGCATATTCCGTATTATGGGTAATGCAGGACTTATATCATCAACAGTATGAATTCATGGGTCTCTGGTTTGCTTGAAGGGGGGACCATCATGAACCATTACGTCAGGGACTGTGAGGGGACATTTCTGCCTAGTTATTCTTCCCCGACTACGAATTAGGTAAGGTATCAAGAGCTTCTTTTTTTTTCCCACCCGCCCAGCTTTGGGGACAAAGGTCAGGAAGGACAGCTGAACCCGACAGAAACGTCTTCAAGCCAAATTCTGCCCAACCCTAAACCTTAGATCATGAAGGTCTACGTACTTTACTTTACTGAAGTAGAGCTGTTTGGGAGCCCCCATCCCCTAAGGCAATGTATACACTAACTGCAAGTACTTCGAACACTCATGGAGCCCAACTCACTACAGGCTGAAGCCAAGGGACGACGTGCCCTCAAAGCCGAAATGACTCACCCAGGACGTCTCCTGCGGCCACACCGAATTCCGGGTCTTTTTTCGGTTCTTGCTTCGGGGTTTGGCGCCTAGGGCTGGGTTGAACGTTGCCTCGACTTTGCTTCGCCAGTACATCCGGGAAAGTGTGGGTTTGTGCTTTGATAAGTTATCGCGGGCTTTCATGTGGCTTCCGGATTGTTCAGTAGGGTTGGTCCCCCTCTACCAGTTAAGAACAGTCTGCGGAAACTGGGTTCAGCATACTTTCACAGCATGAGAAGGTTGAGGTGCAGCTCACAAAAGAGATTGCTGCAGCATGGCAACACATGTCGCCTCCATCGTCTACGACCGGCATTCTACCAGCTACCGGTACACACACACACACAGACACACATGTCCCTGACGCGTGAAAGCTAAGATGTACACGAAGCTCAAGACGGCAGGTACCCTAAACAGAAGAGTCCATATAACATATGGATCGCAAGAAAGCGACCCCTGTATCCGCATATTTGTCCATAACCTCTGAGCTCTGAGCCCGTCCTCGGACGCTTGAGTAATCTCCGTCAAGCCATAGAAGCCACAAGCGACCAAATGGTTGATGCCCAGCATGAAGGTGACAATTTGACTCATGTTCCTTCGACTTTTTTGGTGATTAAAGCCATGCTGGCTTCTTCCTTTGGTTGGTTGGCTTCTTAGCTTTTCGATCCTGATTGGTCAGTCAACCAAATCAACCCAGACAACCAGACAAACATTCAACCAACCAACCAAACAAAACAATTAATCAATCACGCTACCTTGTTGCTTTCGTTTGACTGATGAAAGTTGAAAGCGAATTTATCTACGTTGCATCTATCTTTCTTCTATCGGGAGAGGGCTCTGACATTCTGGCTGCAGGCATAGAGGACATCTGCTTCATTGCTTGGCCTGTGAACCCTAGGCAACAACTGGTCGACGGTTCCCGTTTCCCCTACCATCCTCTCGGAACTCTGCTGACTGCGGCAAGGAACGCTACAAGGCTCCAGTACTCCGAGTTGATCAAATCGTGGAAATTTGCCATCAGCGTCCGCAGCTTGAGCATCCGCACAAGTCGTAAAATGCCTGGTCCGTGTTGTCGGGCTGGCTTGTCTGCACTGCTTGCATATCGAAACAGTTCTATTGGCATCAGGTTTTGAAAATTCTACTACGAGAAGCAGACTTGACGTTCGCCGTGGTCGTGGGACCAGGGACCATGGCTTCCAGCGCAACTATGCTTCCTATAGTTCCTGTTGCACTTTGCTACATCGACTTGTTCCATCCTGCTGGGCCTTGCATGTGTGACTACACGAACTGTGGAATTCACGCAACCAAGCGTTGAAAGGAGGGTTCATGGATGTTTCTGGGAAGCCCTTTGGCGGACATGCCTTCTTCAACACAACACCTTGGTCTTTCATTTTTCACTCCTGGTCATCGGTTCCTGCACCTTCTTGTGTAGTTCCTTATTCGGCTCCAGTCAACAGGAAGGATCTACAGTTAGTTAAGGCCATGGGTATCGAGTTAGCTTGTGCAGGGGTTTGCTTACATTCGCGGCTCTGCCATTCTAGAAGTGATGTGCCTCGTGCACTCAAACACTACTACGTGACAATCTGGCTATGTGGTCCGAACAGTTAGGCTGGAGGTGGCGCCGGGGTGCATGTGAAGGGTTCGCAAGTTTGTGCGTTCCCGTTGAGGCAAGAGCCCAGCAATTGCCAAACGCTTCAATCCCCAGGTCCATGTGAGATACCCCTGACAATCTAGCCTCCCTCGACTAGAACAGTGATGGCAACTGGTGATTAAGCGGGAGGTGGTGATGACGGGTCTACATTTGCTGGCGACCAAAGCCACACGAGCAGTCGATCCCACCCTGAAGCACTTACAAATCTGACATCCTGAACCCTAAACCCTGAACCCTACAATACCTAAACATCCTGAACTCTAACCCTGGCCCAGTGGCGTATGATACGCAGCAGCCGCACAAGGCGAAGAAACTCCGTCGACTCGTCCATGGACTGTTCTGCGGGGAGTGCCAGACCTCGTCTCGGGGAGAATGGCGGGTGTAGTCATATAATATAGTATGCCGTACTCTCCTACGACATACTATGAAACCCCCAGAGCTTTGTAGGGCTTGGCTCTTTCGGGCCGCATTTAAGTGTAACCCTAACCTTCCATGCAAGCTTTAAAGAAGGTAAGCTGTAAACTCTGAACCTCCTCGTGCCCCAGGCTGACTAAGCCTAGGGTGCCTGGATGCCAGCCTGGAAGCATCTCGGAGTCATTTTGACCCCAAACACAGTGGGCCCTAGTGTTCAAACGTCTAGAGCTGTAGAAGGCCGTCGTTTCACCCTGGTCCGACACCAAGTTACCCTGAGTTCAAGATGTGTGAAGTTAGAGTTCGGGGTTTTTTGCTGCTAAACGTCCTTACTGGGGTGTAGAACCTTGTGTTGGCATCTCTTCTGCAGCTGTTACTACTACACGTATACCACCGTCGTCCCCAGCCCTACCCTAAAACCTAATTGTGAGCTTTGAGTGAGGCCGGAAGTCTCGGGACCTGAGATCTTATCCTTCAGAGATTTCGGCGTGCAGGATTTTGGAGGGCAAACTCAAGAATGCCATCGAGCCGCTTGTTGAGATGCTCGTTTACAAGATTTGATGGGCAAGCGGAATAGGGCTTCTTGCCAGTACTACGGCTGTTGGTGCCGGCGTGCTGAGCCAATCCAGCAGCACCAAGGCGACGTCAGGGATGCACCATGTCCTATTCAAGTGTTTGGTTGTTCCGGGCTTGTTGTGCATGTTTGTGATTTGCGTATGTATGTGTGCGAACATGTACGCAGGCATATTCAAGCTTGTAGGTACATACAGAAATTCATACATACATCCTTCAATCCTTGAGCCCTTACCTACGAGAATCACACAAGGCATTTCCAGGTCCGTGATAATCTCTCTTCTCCACAAATGTATACATGTGTGTACCGCATACAACAGATGAACTCAGGAACATCTTGTCCATCGTGATGACGATAATGGCTGTCATTGTGGCTCTGCGAACGATGGCGATATTGAGCTATTGAGCAAGACGCTTACGGCTTTGTCGACCTCATTTGGACCGTGGATGCAGCAATGACGATGCCGTGCTTGACAGCAGCAGCAGCAGCCGCTGTTGCAGCGGCGTCACCCTGACCTTTATCTTCCATGCTGAGCATGAGCATCCGTGTTGCTGACCGTTGATGCCACCGTCGTGGCCGTATCCATCATCGTCGTCACCGTCGCCGCCATGGTCATCATCATTGCAATGAGCATGATGATGACCATCACCATCGTTATCCTCATGTTTGCCCTACCGCCATCGACATCCTTGTGAATGCAATCGTATGCTGAATCTGTCTTTCTCGGCCATCACCACTGCCACCGCCACCACACCGCCGTCTTCTGGAGATGTTGAGGGCGTCATTGTGGTTGTGGAGCTGACGGCTGCTGCTCAATCTTTCAAGCTACTGCACTACGAACCGGAAGAGAGACAGAGAGACAAAGCGAGAGAGAGAGAGAGAGAGAGAGAGAGAGAGAGAGAGAGTGATCGAGAGAGCGAGAGAGAGCGAGCGAGAAACCAGCAACAGCACCGCTCGAACCCGCGGCCAAGACCCCAGACCCCGAGATCCAAAATACTCTTAAACCGCAAAACCCTCTCCGGAGGTAGTTCTTCAGGATTTCCGGGAAGTCCATGACCTCTGATGAGAGGACTTCTCAGCGAAGCGATTCTAGAGACATGAGATGTGGAAACTTTCGGGGGTCAGGGTTTAACAGAAATCAGGCTTTTCAGGCTCACACCAGCTTGGGGCGGGGCCATGTTGCTTAACTCCAGGGGCCATAGCGGTCGGAATAGGGGTCTTGGTCTATGGTAAAGTAATCATCAGCTGCAGGAAGCCGAAGGAACAATGATTCGACCCGGTGTCCTTTGGTCTGGTTCGGCCGAAGAGAATCTTGGCCCTTCGTGCTGTGTTGGTGGCCCAACAACGGTTAACCTCTCGTATGGATCCGAAAAAAGTTGAAGGCATACGACTCGGCTACTAATTTTTTAAGTTACAGTAATGAGGGTTGCAACAACTGAAATCTGAAAGATGGTAATCTGGGTGCTCATGCGGAAACACAACCCCCCACCACAACCGAATAGCACATCTTTCGAACAAGTCTTGGTTGTAGGAGCACGGTATGACACCCCTGGTTGATCTGATATATAACCTTCGAAGAAGAAAATCTTGGGTGTTGAAGACAAGACAGGAAGACCTCAGCATGCTTCAGTGCGCGGCTTTATGCCGTGGGGTATGGTCTGAACTCTGGGACCCGCCTATGACCTAGGATTCGAGGTGAAAGCTCCTTCTGTCGCAGAGCACCCGGGTGGTATGTGAACGTGAGGGCTTCGTGATTACTCGCCACATTCAGCACAAACCATAGATCCCAGTTATCAGCTTTTTTCAGGGGGTCGGGTAAGAATCAAACTCGGAACTGCAAACCCCAGGAAGGTGCAAAGTTTCTTGGGGATTGTTGCCGCTTGTGTCTTTGTTAGAGTTCACGGTGTAGGATCCAACGTACGCATTTGCAGGTTGAGCTGCTGTGACACCATTTCGCGTAAAGCCGACCGTCATGGACGCCACGATGTTCAAGGTCCAAAAGACAGCCGACAGCCACCTGAACTACTCCATATCCCAATCTACTCACGGGGAGAATAGAACCCCGTGCCCTTCATGTCAGGGCCTAAAAAACAGCTTACTCATACTCTATCTCGAGTCTTTTTCGCTGAAACTCGTACTTGGGGAAACAAAGGGTCGCTTCTTTGGGGCAGGCGGGGTGGGAGCGGAGTTTAAGGGGTATAGGGTATAGGTTTGGGGGCAGTTTGGGCTTGGGATTTTACCCGTCACACTGAACCTGAACCACCTCAGATCCTGAGCCAAAAACCCTAAAGCCCCCGAAGATCTCACAGCTTACAAAGCCAAGAGGGCGGTTCCATTCGGTGCACATATGCGCACGCACCGAACCACCGATTTCTCACCAAGACCGTACCTTTCACCGTAAACTTTCACTCAAACTCAGAGCACTCCTCAGCCCAGGAACCAGTGGCTAAGCTTCCGAAGCCCGAACGAAGTAAGAAGGACAATAAGAACTTGCAAAGATAACGCGTACTTTGCTTTTGTCAGCTTCTGTTTATACCTTATTACTTCGTTCGCACCAGGTTTTTGTTTCGGGTCAGCAAAGTCTTTGGATCCAACCCGTCGGGCTTTCTTGGGCTCTGGCAAAACCTGAAGTCCCACATCCGTGCAGACTTCGAAGTGTACATCAAGGGTGGAATTAAAGGTTCAGAAGGTTTATAAGGACACCAGAAGGGCTTTACGAGGTGTGAGGTTTGCTTGAAGGATCAGTGGACGGTGGGAGTTGGTCGTATGTAACGTTGCAATCTACAGCAACCCCAATCAGGGACCTACTTAAAGGGTCTACTTCCATATGATTAGTGGCCCGTTTTGGTAGAGTGTAGGGGCCAATTCAGGGGCCTGTACATTTGCAAGAAGTTGCCGTGAATGTCAAAAGGTAGACATGAAGATCCTCCTCAAATTAGTTCCTTTAAGGGAGTTCCCCTTTAAGGGCTCTATCTGCGCGAGTTTACACCGGACTTCGCCAGATCTGCCAAGCCTGAGGCACCCTGCATCCGGGAAAAGACCCTGAGATTGCAACTTTAAAGCAAGGATCCCCCTACCCAACAGGTTACAACACCCTGTTGTTGGACTTACTACATAGGCTTAACAGAAAGGTGATCGTGATCTCCGTGGAGCCCTACTTCTTTATTCAAGGGAGTGTCAAACTAGACTGCTGCGAGGATCTGTATAAGAACTCGAACTTTTCGAACAACAAATTTTGCGACCTATGATAAGCCAGGAAGATTATCGTTTCAGAACTATGAGACTTATGGTAATTACATTCCTTACTATGGCTATGGGTGATGCAAATTTTGTCTATCAGCAGTGCCAGAGTATTGACAGGTAGGGGCCGCCGAAGGTCTCAACTTAAGGCTTGGGTGCCACCGGTAGCCCTGAAACCTACACTGCTTGAATTCCAAAAAAAGTTTCCCTGCAGAATTCCGTAGAAAGGTAGGTTTGGACCACAGGTAGGGATGTAGGGGCTCTTTGAGTTTAATCAGAGGGTTTGCTCCGAGCCACTCCATTGCAAAGCCAAAAGGAGTCGGAGGAGGTTGAAACACAGCCTTGGCCAGGGAGCCCTAGAACGCAAATCCCAATCCTTGTAATCCCTGTACGCGGCCGAAACACTACTGTCGATGACATAAATCCTGCATTACCTTAAGGACCCTAAACTATGGGAATTATGGTCTATTCCTTACTATGGGTACTGCAGGATTTATATCATCGACCCCGTTAAGCTCAAACTTCTGAACTCCGTGAACCCTCCAGCCCTCCAGTGAGCCCTGAAAGCTTAAATGCCGAAGCCCTGAAACCCTAAAGCCCTTAAGATTTCATGCCTAGAGGGCCCAGTGACCAGAAACTACACTTCGTGGGGGGAGAACCTAAACCATCGGGTACATGTGAGAGACTGCAGGGCCGAGTCCTTGGGCTTCACGACCAAGTTCCCGACAGACAGGAAACTTTGTAGGACACCCCGAAATACAATCATGCATGTACCCACAATAAGGAATATGTACCATAAAATTCCCATAGTTTAGGGTCCTTCAGGTAATGCTCAGGATTTATAGCATCAACAGTAGGATCATACGATCCTTTTTGACAGCTAGGGCTAAGGGCCCCGAAGACAAGGGATCCCTTCCTGACCAGGAATCACCACATGTCATCAAACCAAATGCTGGACTTGAGCTCCCAAAAATGCCATCGCCACATGCCAGGAAGCTATAGGGAGGGCGACGAAATCGTGAAGCAACAGCAAGCCTCGCGAGCCACTCTTGGAGTAAAGCATTTACCCCCACAGAACACTTTTTGAACCTGTTCCCCATTAACGGTGGATACGTCCAGACGGCTCAACCAGGTCTTTATGATTCATCGCAACTTGCGGTTGAGGTCAAGGGCACAGGATTTTGACTGCAGGCTTCTGGGATTCTCAAGGTCTCAGCGCGAATTGGATCGGAGCGCGGGGCTTTCCGAAAACTAGTTGGTCCCCCCCTTTAAGGGATGAGGGTTGAAGGGTTGCTCTGCAGGTTTCTTCGCAAGGCCCAAGGATTTTGGTTTCCGGTTTTTGCGCGCAGAGATGAGTTCATTCCCGGCGGCCTGTCCTGAAGAATAAGAATAAGAAGTTCAGGTACTGAATAGTTGCTTTCTTCGAAGAGGTTCTGAGACATGAAAACGAGACTGGCCGTGCAACTAGTGGAGCTACCGCGAGCTCCGTGCCGAGCTTGCCCCAAGTGCGGGGCTTAGGCTTTGGGGGAACAGCAAGTGCCGGGAGCTCGGGGACTTTGGGAATGCTGGATTGGGGCATAGAAACACCCATCCCATCGTTTTCGGGACCACTGATATGCACATGAAGCGAACAAGCCTTCGGCAAGATTCCCATCAACCGTAAACCTCCCTCTGAAGGAAACCTTACCCGACTCGTGATTCAAGAGAACTTGGCACCACTACCCATGACCCGACACCAACGGACTCAGGGGTGTGAGTGTTCTACACTTCGCTTTTAGTCTGGCCCGTGAACCCGGAACTCCATACAATGTCTGGAAAAATTGCCCAGGCCTCCAACACCCTAAACTAAACCCTCCTTAGTCCTAACTCCACCCCAAAAATCCCAACCCCATTTTCCCCAACACCTCAAACCCCAAATTGCCCAAACTAGAAGGCCCAGAACCCGAGGGGGCCTCCAGTCACATCCCAGCTGATCCGCCAGCGACTCCTGAGCAAGCGACACGGGGCTTTCAAGGGGTTTTGGGGGTTTTAGGGTTACCCAAAGAGCCCAGTATCCAGTAATTCATGATCACACGTGAATCAGGATACCAAGCCCTCTAGAATCAAAGCTGTCCTCCTTTAGGGGTATTGGATCTATGGCCCAGTTACTTGAAAGCATATAGTTCATACCGAATCGCACAAAGTCAAGAGTTCGCCACTTGACTGCGCAAGTTGGATAAACCACCAGCTTTGGGTGGGATCGCGGCCATGTATCCACGGAGGGCTGATGCAGCGGCGACTGGTGACCTGGGAACCACGTCTAGAATCAGTACTCGGACTTAGGGCTTGTAGGGCTGAGGGCGTTTGGAGGTGAGGGTGAATGGTCTTGGGAACTACTTTGTCAGCATGCTTGTACACGCCATGGTTCGCACTGTGCCGCCCTCTCTCTCTCGCTCTCTTCCATTCGTCCACTCGGATCGTCAATGGCCTGTTTGAGTCTTCCAGTCTGGTACACCTGGACAAAAACCGGCGATTGCGAGTATGTGTGCATTGGACAGTTTGCAGGTTTTGGGAAAAGGTTAGCGAACTTTCAGAGATAGGAAGTACTGCCATAGGGCTTCAGTAGGGTTTGGCGCTTAGATTCAGGTGTCATTGACTTTCCATGTTTCCTCTGTTGTTGCTTAGATGACAAGGGCTACAGGCTCAAGGCTCAGCTCGGCTTGAACTTCACTTACCCGCCCCTACACCCAAAAGGCAATCCCCAACCCCGTCAGCCGAACAAGCACAGTCCTTAAGCCCTAAATCCTGCACAGATATCACGAGTGTGAGAACCCAAAAGACACCCTCCAACCGCAAACTAAATCCTTACAGGAACCTGTTTATTTCGAACACCTTGTCAAAAAACCCGCTCCCGGATTCAAAAACCTTCCGACAACCCTAAACCCTAAACCCCTAAACCCCGAAACCATTAAACCCCTAAAACCCCTAAACCCCAAAACCCTAAACCCCTAAAACCCCTAAACCATTAAACCCCTAAACCCCCTAAACTGCCCTAACGCCGGAAAAGCCGGGCCTTGGTGGCCCCTAAACCCCTAAAGATCCCTTTAAAGGAACCCTTACAGTACCCTTTAAAAGGCCGGGCCTTGGTGGAGGAGTCCGAGGAGACGCTCAGCAGCCCAGCTTTGATGAACATCGGCCCGCTCCTCGAAGCAGAGCTCGAGGCTGCGACTCCGCACTTTTCTTTTTTCAAGGGGTTTGGGGTTGAGGGCCCTAGATCCCAAAACCCTAAACCCTAATGCCCTAAGCCCTAAACCCAGAATCACTACGGTTTCCGGTCCTGGGTTTCGGATTTTGGTTTGTTGGGGTTTGGTTTGTTGGGGCGGGGAGTTCAGACTCTTGCAGCTCACAGGCTCCATGCGGAGTTTCGGATTGCAGGGCCTAGAGGGGTTTGCAGCATCAAAAGCTGAGGTTTGAGGGACAAAGGCTTCAAGGTGAAGTTGATAGGGATAAGCCCCAAACCCTAAACCCGATGAACCAAGGGGGTTTATGCCTCTTTCTCAGAACCTTTTTGGTCTGAACTCGCCCGCAGCCCGCAATGCCCAACTCGCCTTAAAGGAAGCGCCACTTCACACTGATTTCAGAGACGTGTCCCACTAGAGGGCCTCGCGTTCAAGTTGCGATGGATTCCTGCAACATTTCCGTAACTACGGGTATTCTTATGGACACTCCTGAAGTGAATGATACTGAGGCCTTGGGCAAGCTAGCCAAGGCGCAGCGAGTTCTCTTTCGTGTAGAAGCGCGACTTCTCACGGTTTAGGAGCAGCCATGCATCTTTCATGGGGAACGCTTCCTGCAGCAGCGGGAGTAAGGCAACAATGCTGGGGATCTGGGGTAGCCAAACCCAAGGGCTTGAACAACCACCAAAACCCCAAGAAAGCCTCAACGCTAAACCTCGACTCCATGCTACACACAGCCCACAACTACTGTGAACGACAGTTGAAGCGCATCGAGTCGAACTATGATCTGGTGAACAGCATGTGCCGATTCTCTGAAATCTTCTTGTCATCTATGAAAAAGCATCAGATGTGGGTTCTCCAGTTCCACAATGCGTTTTTTAGTTTCAGGTGCCTCCGAAACTTGAACTGAATAAGCAGAAAAAGTCCAATACCCGCTCGCTGGAGCATTTGGTCTCCTCTCTCGGGGAAGAAGGCACTTATTCCCTGTGCTCTTTTAAATAGGCCGCCACCATCCCTACGAACCTATGGGTTTGAACATATATAAATATAGGGTCTTTGCGATATTTACACAACAAAATAGTGGGGACTCCAAGCAGATTCTAGTACTAATTTTCCCAGACCCATCTTTGAATTTGGTGGATTGAATCTCTTGACCAGAAAAGTTTCCTGTCAAAGTCAGCAGACAAGGCTTACAAGAAGTCGGGTTTGGCAGGTCCCGACACCCTGCAGCAACACCCTAAACCCCGAAGACTTTGCGGGTAATGTGGAAGCCTGAGTGGTTTCACGAGCTTCATAGTATGTGTATATATATATATGTACAGATATATGTGCATATATATATATACATATATATATACACACACATACTTGCACGTGTGTATACAGACATGTTCGAGAATTCCAAATAGCGTTGCTAATTTTCAGCCCCCCCCGCATATTGAAGCTATACAAACTCCTTAGGCCCTATAAAAAACCATCAAACAAACTTATGGAGCTCTGCATAAAACCCTTATGCCTTATGTAACATCCCTATAAGCAGTATGAAACCCTTTGCAACACCCGATTGCTGAAAAAGGCTGCTATGGAGCTTCAATCCGGCCGTAGCCAATGTGCAGGTTTTTGTGGTATGTTCTTGGTATACGTTTACTCAAAAAGACTATCCGTTCGGTTCTGTTGCGGACGGGTGGTGCTGTCTCGGTGAGACAGCGCATCCAAAACTCATGCACGCGCCACGCTCCCAAAAGGAAAGGACTCCTGTGTGAGGCCCCTCGTTGCGTTGGCCCAAGTACTCCTCAATCCACTGCGTCACTTGGCGGTCAGTGAAGGGGAGTGCAAGCTCTGACAAGACCACGGCACCTTCGCGTCACGCGGGGGGAAGGCGCTCGGGACCAGTAGGGATCGGTGGGCCCACAGCAAAGCCACCTGAAATTGGGACTTAGCAGCGGCCTCGGCCTCAAGTATCTCAGGAATAGAAAGAGGCGGAATGATTGCCGCAACACGGCGGAGACAACGGTCCGTCCGTGTAAGGTGCATCTGCACCCGTGCGACCAAGCCGTAGTGCCTATGGCAAGACAGGCCGTACGCAAACTGTGCAAAGTAGTGAGCTGGAGAAAGGATGCCATGGCTTTCAAAGAGGTGAACGCCGAGGTGTTGCCTCAAAGCGACGATGCCTCACACACATGGCAACGAAAAGGCCTGTCAACCTCTGGAACAGGGTCAGGCATGGGCGAAGAGCAGTTCCGCCAGCACGCGACATCAACCAGGAAGACAGAGCATGCTTGGCAGACCCGCTGGGCCCACCACCTTGGGCTCTCAACAAGGGCGTCCAGAAGCGAAGGGACAGGATTGTCCTTCGGGAGAACATGGAAGATAGTCGGCACATACATGCCCACTTGCATGATATCAAAGGAAAGCTGCGCAAGCCACGAGGAACCTGGATGGGTAACCCAGTGGTCAAACAACAACTGAGCCAGCATGCTGGGGCCCTTGGAGGTCAGCCGACACAAGAACGAGGCTCTGGCCTCTGCAAGTGCCAATGGCGGTGCTGGAGCACGAGCAGCATGAAGATCATCATATGAATCCGCACATTTTGTGAGCATTACTCTGCCCCCTATATTGCCATTCCTCTCAATTGTGTGACTTTTGTCATTCGAAGTAAAGCATGACTTGATTGGGATTATGGCTATGTCCATGCCGCTATACTCATAATTGATGTCAATACTCTGCTTCGTTTGCAAATAGGTGTACAAAAACATTAGGACCGCACGGCTCGGCCTTCGCTTCGATGTCGTCCGACTCACTTTTGTCTGAGAAGCCACTGGAGGATTTCCTTTGCTCCGGCACGCATTTTTGTTGGGTTTCTTTTTCGGTGTTCAGGATTTGGGATTAAGTTTATGTCTTTTTTGGGAGGTTACCAGGCTCGGACTAGACCTGAGGCTTCCAGACCCGCTATTGTCAAGTGCTTATGCTGAGACCCTTAAATCAAACGCTAGCTCGAGTTATCGGGATATCAGGGCACGGACCGAGCGGAAGCTGCCGACCCGGCAGTCGAGGGCTCGGCATGTGAGCCCTGGAGTCTACATCATGCACTTACGGGAACTATTCAGAAGGGGGATACTTGCCCCCAAGCATCATCAAGTTTTAGTATTTCCCAACACAGAAAGCCCCACTTTCTATCTTGTGTTTATTCAGGGCCCTAAAAATCCAGAGCATCGCGCCTCAAACACTCAAGCGGTGAACCGCATGTGTCAGCGGTCAGCGACCACATTCCTACCTCCTGACTCCGACGCCAGTGTTACACCCGACAGCCAACAAAGTCCCAAAACAAAACTAGCTCCCCGACCGCTCTCCACCCCAAACACAACCCCGTCTTCCACTTTATGGAAACCCAGCTAGGTCCAATTCCCTAAGCCTTTGTAGAGGCGAAGCGCTGATGCACCATCACTGCTTCTCCGTCTTGGCTTCTTCCTTGGATGGTTTTCAAACTAGGGCCTAAGTAGTCAAAACAGGACGTCAGGTACATTTTCTACACGAAGCTTTATGATGAGGGACCATAAGACAGTGAGGGTGTTGGGTCAAGTTTTTCTATAATTTTACAGGGACTATGACTATGAGTCTTCGGGCCCCTTTATCTCTGAATCCCAAAAGAGAGCCCGATGCCAGTGATTCAAAAATGCTTTGTGGCTTGTCTACTATAAACGGATTGCTATATAATCCAATGTAAGGAAGCTTCCGTATTTAAACGGGTAGTAGGCATTCTGAAAGTTTAGTCCCACGGTTTTGCTTGCAGGATGACTGGCAGCCATTTCTCATTCTGACGCCGGTGTTGCATTATGGCAAAAGCTTTAGGGACAATCTCTTGTTGTTCGATCAGAAAAGCGCGCCAGTCCACGTCGCAAGGACAAGCCGGTGGGGTGTCACACAGCACTGTCGCTCCATGAACCGTGGCTCTACTCAACCTTTCATACTTTTGGGGCAACGGGGTGCGGAGAATGACATGGATTGGGATAAACTCGCCCCCGGCCCGGTAAACCTCAAGGCCCTGGAAAGCCGAAAAGCCCTGAAAGCCTCTGTAAGCCGAAAAGAAGAGCTGGGTCGACTTCGACCTCATCTTCTGAGGCCTAGTTGGATGCTGCAATCGCCCGGTTGATCGAATTTCTCATTTGCAAGGGCCTTAATTATAAGATACCTACTACCTACCTATAAGCCTCAGAAGGGAGCGGGGTTGTTCATCAGGGATCTGCAGCACACAGCCTTCTGAAACACAAGCCCAAGAACCAGGTACACGTAGCCCCCCCACCTGAACCCTAAACTCCCAAAACCCCTAAACACTAACTTAAACCCTCGAGCCCTAAACTCCGAAACGATGAACCCCTAAACCCTAGCCTAAAACTCCACACCCTAAGCCCTAAGCTTCTAAACCCTAGCTTCAACCTGCAGTGTCAGACCAAGTTGCGCTTCCTGGCATCTGAGAAGAATGAACTCCTCGAGTTCCTGCCAGATGGTTTCGTGGGCTACAATGTTTACAAGAAAATATGTCAAAGTATGTTGTATAGTAAGCCCTGCC